AGACTCACTGAGACCACTCCTCCACATGTTACACGCCGCTCGCCTGAGCACATCGAGGTCGGCGTGCTTGAGAGCCGGGACGGGAGTCCATGCTCGGGCGCCTCGGCCCACAGAGGGTACAGGCTGGCGCGTTCGGAAGCCTGCGTGAGATCTGGGACCCTCGTGCCCGACGTCTCGCTGGGGGGGCCCCTTCATCTACCAGCATCTGCTGCCACCTCGCTCCGGAGGAGCACGACGACGGCGGGGAGAAGGAGGAGGCAGCGGCGGAGATCGTCCTTGTCATCGGCCCGCCTATAAAACACGGCAAACAAACAAGCAGAAAGCAGAAAACACCAAAAAGGGAGGAGGCAATGGCGCGAGGGGAGCGGCCCCCTGGGTCCCCTCTTGGGGCCGTCCCGGGGGCCTCTTGGGCCGCATTGTGGGCCTCATGTGTCGTCTTGGTGCCCTCGTGGGTCGTCTTGGGGCCCTCTTCGGGGGCCTCTTGGGCCGTCTTGGGGCGACCCTGGTGGCCTCTTGGGCCGCCCTGGAGCGCTGGAATCTCGAAAAAGCGAAAGGAGGAGAGGGCGGGGGCCCTCTGAGAGGGCGGGGGGGCCTCCCCGGAGCGCGTCCGGGGGGCAGCTCCCCCGGACGCCGGGGGAGGGCTTCGGCCGAGGGCTTCCGAGAAGCCGTCGCCCTCTGAGGAGCTCCCCCGACGCGCGAGCCGCTGGCCTGTCGTCGGGCACGCCCCTCTACAGTCGGGCCGGACGAAAGGGAGGGATTGGGAAAGGGGGGTTACGAAATTTGCTGCATGCAGCTGGTTTCGGCCCCACCGAGGGGCCCATTCCTCGATACATAGCCGCCTCCAGCACCGGGAGGCGCCGGGAAATCAGCTACGTGAGCTGACTCTCAAACCCCCCCTTTGCTATCCCCCCCTTTCGCCCGACCCGATACAGGAGGAGCACTCAAGAACAGCAAGAAAGCATCGTCTGGTGACGACTTGTCGTTCCTTGTTGCCTGTGTTTGATATGACTGTTTGCCTATCCTTCACTCCTCTCCCAGAATCCGCCTCTAGGAGGATTTTTTGACTTTTTGACTGTTTGTCGACTTTCCCCCCTTTTTGCCCCTGTTGGATGACTTTTTGACTGCGCTTCCCTCTTCTCCCCGAGGCCCCCCTGTGGGAGGACGTGCGCCCGACCCAACGCTTTGCCGGCACTCCCGAGCGTCCGCGTGCCGAGCCCCGCCCAGCGCCTCCCGCCCCGCGGGGCGTGGCGACGTGTGCCGCCAGCTCGCCGGGCGTGGCGTGCCGCCGGGGCCGCCGCCACGACGCGCGGAGCCAAAAGGTCCAGGCCGTGGAAGGCCGCCCAGGCCGCCAGAGATCGGCGGCGAACCCCGGGGGGGGACTGCAGAGGAGGCGGGCCTTCTCTCAGGCGATCGCAGACATGGATTGAGGGGGCGTGGATCAGCGACGGGTCGCGCTTCCATGGGAAGCCGCGGATTTCCGCCGCCGAACGAGGCGGCAGCAGCCGCAGTTTGGGGAGGGCACCTCCCCCGATCCATGGATTTGGCGACCGCGCGCCAAATCCATGAATCGCTAATCCATGTTTGCGCGCCCCCGATTCTCAGAACAGAAGGATCGGAAGGCCTCAGGCCATCTGAGGAGCTGCGGGCTGCTCAGGAGCCCCGCCGTCCTTGAGAAGGCCTGCTCCCTCTCGGACGCCTGGTGGCTTTTTCGGGTCACAGGTCGGCTCTCTGGCGGCCGCTCGGGACGATCCAGGCACCCCCAGAACGCCCTCGGCGAGCTGCAGCCGCTGGGAGGCATCCCGAGGCTGGAAAGCAGCGGAGAACACACGAAAGCGCCCAAGAACCGCGGTCGCCCCTTTCCTCTACCTCCTCCTTCTCCCAAATGGGTTTGCAGTAGCAATGTTAACTATACGAATACGAATGATATCATTAGTAATAACGATCGGGATGACAATCATACGAATAAGCATGATATTAATGATGAACATGAAAATAACCTTAATAAGAATAGCAATCATTCATAACAGTAGTAACAGTAATGATGCCAGGGAAAAAAAAACAAATATGAATATTGTTAGGGCTATGAGGCTAAAAGGCTATAGGGCTATTAGGGCTATATGGGCTATTGGGGCAATAAGGCTATTGGGCTATTGGGCTATAGGGCAGTAGAGTTATAGGGCTATAGGGCTATAGGGCGATAGATCACCCGGGCACCCCCGGGCACCTCCAAGCATCTCCGGGCAATTGGGCACCCGGGCACCCCCGGGCACCCGGGCACCCTCGGGCACCGGGGCCAGCCACTGAAATCGGCGGCCCACCTCACTTAACCATATGAATCCGCTAGGACCCCTACAAAGGCAAGCTCTGACTGTGGAATAAGAGCAGCAAGACCAACAAAAATCAGAATGATGATACAAAGAACAATAATAATAATAATGAGAATAGTAAATTATCCCAGTGCGACCCGACCTAGGAGTTGGAGCCTCCAGGAAAGCAACATTAGTAGGAGCGGTAAACGCCGTCCTCCTCCTTCTCCTCACCGTCGTAGTTGTAGCAGTAGCGGTAGTAGTAGTAGTAGTAGTAGTAGTAGTAGTAGTAGTAGTAGTAGTAGTAGTAGTAGTAGTAGTAGTAGTAGTAGTAGTAGTAGTAGTAGTAGTAGTAGTAGTAGTAGTAGTAGTAGTAGTAGTAGTAGTAGTAGTAGTAGTAGTAGTAGTAGTAGTAGTAGTAGTAGTAGTAGTAGTAGTAGTAGTAGTAGTAGTAGTAGTAGTAGTAGTAGTAGTAGTAGTAGTAGTAGTAGTAGTAGTAGTAGTAGTAGTAGTAGTAGTAGTAGTAGTAGTAGTAGTAGTAGTAGTAGTAGTAGTAGTAGTAGTAGTAGTAGTAGTAGTAGTAGTAGTAGTAGTAGTAGTAGTAGTAGTAGTAGTAGTTAGTAGTAGTAGTAGTAGTAGTAGCAGCAGTAGTAGTAGTTGTAGTAGTAGTAGTAGTAGTAGTAGTAGTAGTAGTAGAAGTAGTAGTAGTAGTAGTAGTAGTAGTAGTAGCAGTAGTAGTAGTAGTAGTAGCGCCAGAACCGCCGACGCCACGCCGTAAGTGAAGCAGCAGCAGAAGCAGGCAGCAAGGTGCCCCACTAAGGGCTCAAGATGGCCCAAAGACGGACAACATGCATGGAACATACGTGCTCTCTCTCTCACACACACACACCTAAGTACATATATGTAGCAGCAGCAATAGTGGATGCTGTGCTGCGCTATGCTCTGCTCTGCTCTGTTATGCTATGCTATGCTGCGCAATTCTATGTTGGGCTAGGCTAGGCTATGCTATACTCTGCTATGCTATGCTGCGCTATGCTATGCTGCGCTATGCTATGCTATGCTATGCTATGCTATGCTTTTGTTTTGCCTTTGTTTTTGCCTTCACTTTTGCCTTTGTTTTTGCTTTTGCTTAGCACCCAGGGAGCGCAACTGGGGGAACGGCGCGCTTGCTTTTACCTTTGCTGTTGCTTTTGCTTGGCTCCCAGGGGACTGGGGGAACCGCCCGGGGCGATTTACACTGCCCGGCCCCTTTAAGCTAGAGAGTAAGAACCCTTCTAGGCAGAGCCTAGGTAGGGAACATAATAATTAGAATAAGCATGATCAAACTAATGATGATGGTGATAGTGATGATCCCAGAGACAAATCCCAATCAGATGTTTGTTTTGGGCTATAGGGCTATGGGGTTATAGGGCCTTAGGGCGATAGGGCTCTAAGGCTATGGGGCTATAGGGCTATAGGGTTATAGGGCTATAGGGCCATAGGGCTATAGGGCTATGGGGCTACAGGGCTATAGGGCTGTAGTGCTATAGGGCTATAGGGCTATAGGACTATAGGGCTATAGGACTATAGGACTATAGGGCTATAGGGCGATAGCGCTATAGGGCTATAGGGCTATTGGGCTATTGGGATATAGGGCTATATGGCTAGTAGGGCTTTAGGGCTATAGGGCTATATGGCCATGGGGCTATAGGGCTCTATAGAGCTCCCAGGAACCCGGGCACCCAGGTACCCCCGGGCACCTTTGGGCACCCCCGGGCAACCGGGCACCCGAGCACCCCCGGGCACCCGGGCACCCCCAGGCACCCGGGCACCCCCGGGCACCCGGGCCAGCCACTGAAATCGGCGGCCCACCTCACCTAACCATTTGAATCCGCTAGGACCCCTACAAAGGCAAGCTCTGATTGGGGAATAAGAGCAGCAAGACCAACAATAATCAGAATGATGATACTCAAAACAAGAGTAATAAGGATCATATCAAGCATAATACTGAGAATAACCATGATCAAAATAATGATGATGGTAATGGTGATGATCCCAAAGAATAATCCCAATCAGATGTCTGTTTTGGGCTACAGGACTACGGGGTTATGGGGAAATAGGGCGATAGGGCTCTAAGGCTATGGGGCTATGGGGCTGTAGGGTTATAGGGCTGTAGGGTTATATGGCTGTAGGGCTGTGGGGCTATAGGGCTATAGGGCTATAGGGCTATAAGGCTAAAAGGCTATAGGGCTATCAGGGCTATCAGGGCTATTGGGCTATTGGGCTATAGGGTTATTAGGGCTTTAGGGCTATAGGGCTATATGGCTATGAAGCTATAGGGCTCTAGGGCTATAGAGCTATAAGGCTATACGGCTATGAGGCTATAGGGCTATAGGGCTACTGGGCACCCGGGCACCCCCAGGCACCCCCTGGCACCCGGGCACCCTGGCCCGTCCACCGAAATCGGCGACGTAGGTCACCTACACATATGAGTCCGCTAGGACCCCTACAAAGGCAAGCTCTGATGGGGGAGTGACAATGATAATAGTAATCATTACCAAACAAAGAAAATCGCCCGAGAACCTCGAACCTCGAAGCTGCTCCCCAAGGCGCGCGCCGCCGAAGCGAGCCCGGCGCGTGGATGAGGGCCCTCGGCGGCCCGGTGGCCACGCCGCGGAGAGGCTCTTGCGGCGCGGGCCCCACGCGCGCCGGCAGGACCGGCGAGTTCCACCGGGCCGTGCGCGGCGTTCTCCTCGACGCTCCAGCCGAGGCGCACGGCGGCTGTTTTCAGAGGCTCTTCGAGTCAGACAAAAAGCACGACGGACAGTTTTTCGCTATGTTCGGCCTCGCCTTTTAGACAGGGTCTCGTCATCTTCCTGAAGGCCCCGTCAGGCCAACCCGAGTTCCCCCGAGCCCGAGGCCCACGTTTCCCCTGAACGGGGTCTTTGATACGGTGGAGGCCCATGCCAAGAAACACCCTGCACGCATCCAGGGTGCCCTGGGTTTCTTGGGGTTCGATGGTTCTGCTGTGGAAAGCGTGACGTGCCCACACCAAAAATCCATAGACGTCCTGGGGTCTCAGGGTTGAGTTTCTTGTTAAAGGTGTCTTGTGGACTGGCCTCCACTTTAAGCCAGGACGCTGGTCCGGACCTCCCACACTTGAGGCGTTCCAGAGAAGGCCTCGCCTTCGAGGGTCGAAGGAGCTGTCATCTCCTCTTCGGCGGAAGGCGGCGGAAGCAGAAGGAGGATCTTCTCGGATCCTCCCACTTGGGAGGCCTCCAACTAGCGCGCCGCAGAAAACGGCAGCCGGGGGGTGGAGATGTCCTCCATCCGTTGTTCTCTCCAGATAGGGTTGCTCGAATAGGGGATCGGTTACAGAATCGATTTACTCCAAAATTAGTTTTCCCGGCAGCTGCACCAAAAGTACGCAGAATGTTTGTAGATCTATGGGACCTGATACGCATTTGTTCGCAGATTCGGCGGGAAAAACAATTCTGGGGCAGATCAATGTTGCAGTCGAACTCCCACTCGAACTGTCAGAGCCCTGCTTTGCCTTGTTCTCGTCTAGGGCGCCCTACAGTCGGACCGAGGCGTAAGATCGAGGCCGGTTCGGGGGGGGGCACCCTGATGTTCGACGTGTTTGTTGGATGTTCTTGTGCATCTTTGGGGGGGGCACCCTCGAGTGATCGTATGGTTTGAGGTGTTTTGGCCGGCGTCGGCTTCATGTTCTTGAAACAGGTTACCCCATCAAGCCACGAAGGACCCCCCCGGGGTTATCATTAGCACCGCACCGTAATCAAATAATTCTGGGGGGCGATTTTCGCCGAACGATATGATTAGCACCGCGCGAATGGAACGAAAATAAATAATTTCCGCGCCCCGGCTCGGGTGGCATCCAAAATGGAATTGAAATCAGAATAAGAGTGGAATGCGAGTAATAAGAACAATAATAATGATAAGAAGAATAAGAGTAAGGATAATGATCAGAGTAATAATAAGAATAATCCGAATAAGACTAAGAATAAGAGTAATAATAATTGTAATAATAATCAGAATCAAACTAAGAATACTAATAGTAATAAGAATAAGAATGCGAATAATAATAATAATAATGGTAATAAGAATCCGAATACTAAGAATAATCAGAATACAATGATAATAAGAAGAAGAAGAATAAGAGCTTTTCTCATTATCTTCATCACCCTTGTCCTTTACGATTTGTAGTACCACCCCTGTTGAAAAGTTGTTTTTCCTGGCCGTCGTGTGGGGTAGTGCATCCGAGGATATCGCCCCCGCCACGCACTGCGCGTTATCTTCGCACCGCATACACACAAACTAATTACGACAGCTTGTCCAAAACGACAAGAGGTACAACAAGCCCAAGAATATTAATAATAATACAAGTAAGAATAAGACTACGAATAAAAATCAGAATACGAATGAGAGTAAGGATCAGAATAATAATGAAAATCCGAAAACGGACGGGCTCCCCTGCTTCTTTCCTCCCTCCCTCCTTTTTCTCATTTTCTTCATCATCCTTGTCCTATACGATTATTATTACCACCTCTAGTGAAAAAATGTTGTTCCCCGGCCGTCGTGTGCGGTAGTGCATCCCCCGCCACGCACGGTGCGTTATCTCAGCACCCGCACCGCCAAAATCATTCGCCCCCCATCGTAGGCACGGACGGTTCCTTTTCAAAATTGGGCTCTCCTTTGCGTGGGACTTTATGTTGTTATTCTTGGTAGTAGTGGTGTTGTTGGTGGTGTTTTTGATGTTAATGTTGTTGGTGATGCTCTTATTGGCCTTGTTGTTCTAGATGTAATTCTTATTGCTTGTATTATTGTCGTTGTTCGTGTTGGTGCCGTGCCGTAAGGGAGTCTTGAGGAGGAGGAGCAGGAGGAGGATTTGTTCTGTTTAGTTGGGAATAGTAATAAGAATAAGAATCATAATCAGAATAAGAATAATAGTAAGAAGAATAAGAAGAATAAGGTTTGCTTGTTTTGGCGAGCAGACTCGTCTGCGTTCACATAAAGGTGCGAGGTGCCAGGGCAACGCTTCTGGGGTGCCGGGTGCGTTATACTTTCGCCGGAGAGGGAAGGGGGGGGTCTGAATTGCTTCTCTGCTGTCCTGGGTCCGACTGTACCACTGCTCCTCCCCCCCTCTCTCCTCCTCTTGCACGCCGGCCAGTTCGCGCATCGGTCGCCCCGGAGCGCCGCCCGCTGGAGCCGCACGTCTGCCTCGCCGCCGGCGGAACAAGAAAGTATGCCGCTGCTCCGCCCGGACCTGGCGACGCCCGGACGGGGCCATCGCGGCGCGGAGGCGCGTCGCCGGACGAGAGGCGGACGGGCGAGGAGGAAGTCCGGAGGTTGACAGACCTCCTACCCTGACGCGTCGATTAGCGAATTGGCCGTTCTCGGTTCGCGAGAGGGCGTCGCGGCCGTTCTTTTTGCGGGTCCAGGTCCGTCGGTTTCGGTCCCAGGCCGCTTTCACTAAAGGGAGGTTTACTAAAGGGAGGTTTGTCCACAGCCGAGAAGTGGCAACAGACCAGCGCACAGCCCAGTCGCAGTTGCAGCAGCAGTCGATCGTGAGCCGCGGACCAGCGGATTATTAGTTTGCCCTGCGTCCAGCTGTAAGTGTTTGGTTTCTTGTGTCGGCGGCGAGCGAGGCGGGGAAGTGAGAAGGGGCGGGCCTTCTCAGAAGGCTCGGACGTCTCCCGGCCTTCTGAGAAATCTTCCAAGCCTCCCCCGAAGACACAGAAAAAAAATCAGAAGGCGCGAGGGCCTCCGAGAAGTCCCGCCGCCTTCTGAGAAGGCCTTCTCCTTCTGACTTCTCCCCCTCGCTCGCCGCCGACCATGTCTTCGGAAGTCTTCGAGGGTTCTCGCTGGTTCTGGGAGGTCGTCGGGGCCCGCGGTGCGCTGCGTCAGCCGCGCCTCGTCGAAGAGCTCCTGGGGCTGCCACGGGCGCGTCCCGAACGGCCGCCCCCCCGGCCCACACTGTGGTGCGAAAGCCGACCTGTGGCGGCGCGCAGGGGGGGGGAGGAGGTATGGAGGTATGGAGGGAGGGGGGGGGGAGGGAGGGAGGGAGGGAGGGAGGGAGGGAGGAGGGGAGGAGGAGGAGGAGGAGGAGGAGGAGGGGAGGAGGAGGAGAGGAGGACGAGCGAGGACGAGCGAGGAAGGGAGGGAGGGAGGGAGGGCGAGGGGAGGGAGGGCGAGGGAGGGAGGGCGAGGGAGGGAGGGAAGGGAGGGAGGTAGGGCGAAGGGGGGAGGGAGGGAAGGGAGGGAGGGAGGAAGGGCGAGGGGGCAGCCTTCGAAGGCAAGACTGGGCGTGGCCTCTGCGCTGCGTTTCTGGCCATAAGCGTTGGGGGGGGGGAAGGACCTCGCTTCGTCGGCGCGCCGCGACGCGTGACGAGGCACATGCGGCGCGCGAGGGCTGTCCGCGACGAGGGTCGATTCGGGGCTGCCGGCGCGGGCACAGTCAAACCGCATGGTACGGACAAGCAACCTTCCCAAGGCTACCCTTGCATCCTTGCCTCCTCGGTCCATCCTTGACCACTTTCGTTGGCCGCGCCCCGCTCGAAAAGCTTCGAGATGGGCGTCCAATGGCCCTCGCATCCGGATCGCGCATCCTCAGGACACGGGTCGACTGCAGCGTACCCCTGGCGCTTACAATGGACCTCGGAGCAACGGGCTTGCCAGCAGGTGCCCCACGGACGGTGCTTATCCCCCGACGCCCCCCGATGGCCGCAGGGGCCCACTCCTGCTCATTCTCCTCCTCCTCCTCATCCTCCTCCTCCTCCTCCTCCTCCTCCTCCTCCTCCTCCTGTGAAGGTACAGGAAGGTTCAGGATGGAGAGGGGATCAAATTCCACGAGTAAGAGGGTGAGAGGGTGGATGGGAGGTGGAGGCGGAGGATGCACATCACGAGCGCGCGATTCGTATCTTGCGCATGATTACCAGCAGCGGCCCGCACAGGCAAGCGGCGATGAGGTTCATCTCCGTGCGCTTCAAGACAACATTTCTCGGAAGGCGGAACCATTGCGGATATCCCGTTCACCTCTTTGTCATCTTCCTGCGTCCTAGCCCTTTCATGTGCCGTCTCCTGCTCACACCTGGCGTGTCTGATCTAGAAATATATATATATATATATGCAATAACAACTTGATTTCATGTGTGTACATACAACGGGGGGCCGAGTCCGGGGGCCCCGGGCCAGGACCTCGACCACAAATATGTGGACCGGGTTGCCCGGGGCCCTGCCAGCGCGCCAGAGGCCCTCCAAGATCGCCCGAAGACGGCACTGGATCGCTTGAAACTGCGTTTCGGTACCGCCAAAACGGCCCACGACGGCCCCAGATTATTCAGAATTGGCCCAGAATTGGCTCCAGACTGCAAGAGGATTGCGAGACGCCTCAAGAGGCATCCACGAGGCCTCGCAAGAGGCAAAATCCATTGATTGAAGGGTTTTTGAAGGATTTTGGTTTTCTCGCCTTTCCGGCTTCCCAACGCTCCATGGCGACCCGAGGCGCCTACAAGGACGCCCCAAGATTGCCCCAGAAGCTCCCAATAGAGCCCCACGACCCCACGACGCCCCGAGAGAGCTCAAAGACGGCCCAAAGAGGGCTCGAAGACGCCGTAAGAGGCCTCCAAGACGGCCCCAGAGGCCCCCAAGACGATTCAAGAGAGGGTCCAGACGGGGGGCCCGGTCGGACATTTCGAGCCCTCGGCCCAATGAGGCACCCAGGAAGCCCCGAGATGCCCCCAAGAAGCCCCAAAGAGGCCCGAAGGGTCTCCAAGAGGCCCCCACGAGGCCTGCACGAGGCCCCCAAAAAAGAGCCAAAGTCGTAGATGTTCCATTAAGTTTGAAGGGTCTTCGCGTTCTCGCCTTTACGGCTTTCGGACGCTCCAAGGCGGCGGCATAGGCTTGCAAGATCCCAACACTGCCAAAGAGGCCTCCAAGAGCGTCCCAAACCATTTCAAGAGTCTTTTGCAGCGTTTCCAGGGGGGTCCGTCCATCGGAGAGGCATCGGAGTATCAATGTCACGCCACCGTGGGTACCCCATCCGCGCCTTCCTGTCGACGAGATGCAACGCTTTCGAGCGAACAACGAATGAGTAACACGCCGATGGGTCCCCCGCGGCGGCGAAGCATTGCTATTCGTCCCCGACCTAATTATATCATATGTTTTCGTGTCAGGCCCTTGCTCGCCTCTGCGCCGTCCTCCCTGCCCTCCCCATGTCTATATACATATAAATATCTAGAGAGAGATACACATGTATGTACACCCTGTATCTATGTTTTGTACTCTGGGGGGGTTGGGGAAATCCCCCTCTAAAACAGGACCCCCCGGATCCGTGAGAGGGAGGGAGAGGAGGGAGGAGGAGGAGGAGGAGGAGGAGGAGGAGGAGGAGGAGGAGGAGCGCTGCGATCAGCTGTGTCATGCGCGGGGAGGCGGGGGAGGAGCAGGAGGAGGAGGAGAAGGTGGAGGAGGAGGAGTTGACTCAGGAGGAGGAGGGAGGGAGGCGGGAGGAGGAAGGAGGGAGGAGGAAGGAGGGGAGAGAGGGAGGAGGTTGGAGGGAGGAGGTTGGAGGGAGGAGGTTGGAGGGAGGGGAAGGGAGGAGGGAGGGCGGAGTCCATCCCGCGGTGGTGCGGGCCTCTTGCCCCGCAGGTCAGGAAGCCGCAGGCTTGTGAGCTCGTGGGCTCGGAACAATACATAAATCCCTCCTTCCCTCTTCCTCACTCCTGCCTCTCTCCATCATCCCTCCTCCCCCCTCCCCCTCCTGCTCCTCCTCCCCCTTGCTGCTCCTGCTCCTCCTCCTCCTCCTCGTCCTCCTCCTCCTCCTCGTCATCCGCCCTCTTCCTCATCCTCCCGATCCTTCTCCTGGCTCTCCTCCTCCACCTCCTCCACGAATACTCAATATGAGCACCGCTCTCCTGTTTCTCTCTCTCTCTCTTTCTCTCTCTCTCTCTCTCTCTCTTTCTCTCTCTCTCTCTCTCTCTTTCTCTCTCTCTCTCTCTCTCTCTCTCCCTCTCTCCCCCCTGGTAACTCGAGCGTGTGATCGCACGTCTTTCACGTAGTGTATTCACACGCCGGATGTCATGAGTCTGTATTTCCGATGTGTAAATACCATCGGATGGCCTTTGGTCTGTCAAGCATGGAGTTCCCGCTGCCGCGGTGGCAACATGACAAGATCGGTGCATTGCTCTGGCTGTTCGGAATGGCGATCTCGCACCAGCGTGGGCTACATGTATGGATCCGATTACTTCGCCGTCGCTGCCGTCCCACTCCTTGTCTTGTTCGCCGCAATTTGCAAACAGATGTGCCGACAGTAAGCCAGCACCCTTGGACTGAGCATGCCCAGTTTGGCACGGCATCTCTTGTCCGGGCCCGCACGCCGGCAAGGCGCCTCGATGGCTGCTGCATGGGGCCCATGATTGGCAGCACTTGGCTGCACAACGAGGAGCGCACGAGTGACACATAACACCCCCCGCCTTCACAGGTGCGCTGCTCTGCAGGAAAACCTTGCCACCTTACAAGCTGTACCGGCCCGTTCCCTGGACAATACGCTGATCGTGGCGCCCCCCGCCCCCGCGACCACAGCGCTTCGGTCCCCCCTCGATCGCCTCGGCCCCCCTCGATCGCCTCGGCCCCCCTCGATCGCCTCGGCCCCTCCGCGATCGCCTCGGCCCCCCCTCGATCGCCTCGGCCCCTCCACGATCGCCTCGGCCCCCCCTCGATCGCATCGGCCCCTCCTCGGTCGACTCGGCCGCCACGACCCCTCCCGCAATTGGCTGCAATTACATGAGGTCCGCATTGGCCTCGGAGGGCTTCTCCATGGCGGCCAATGCGAACCCCCGTAACTGAGCACGCAATTACGGGGCGTCCGCATTGGCTGCCCGAATTTGAGCACGCAATTTCGGGGCGTCCGCATTGGCTGCTAGCTGCCCTTCGGGAGCCGGACCTCCTTCAACTCGCTGACTTACAGCAGGCTGTATCAGGCGGCTTCGCAGGGTCGGTTCTTGCTCCTTGCCACGGCCCCAGCAATGACGAGGAGGAGAAACGCGTCGGAGGGGGAGGAGCGCACGAATGACGGAGGAGGACGACGAGCGCCAGGGGAGGACGAGGAGGACTGCCTCCTCCTTCTCCTCCTCTTCCTCCTCCTCCTCCTCCTCATCCTCCTCCTCCGCCTCCTGCTCCTCCATGCACGCCGGGCGCGCGCGGCGCAGGCGCCCCTGAGGCAGCTCGGCTCGGTCGCCCGTCCTGCGGGCGCCGCGCCCGCCGAGGCGCCGCGCTCGGGCGACGTCGAGGCGTCCTGCCCGCCGGGCACCGGCGGGCCCTGGCGGAGGGGGGAGTCGTCCTCCTCCTCCTCCTCCTCCTCCTCCTCCTCCTCCTCCTCCTCCTCCGCCTCCTCCTCCTTCTCATCCTCATCCTCATCCCCCTCATCCTCATCCTCATCCTCCTCCCCCTCCTCCTCCTCTCCGCCTCCTCTTCCCCTCCTCCTCGTCTTCCCCCTCCTCCACCTCCTCCTCCTCCTCCTCCTCCTCCGCTTCCTCCTCCTCCTCCTCCTCCTTCTCCTCCTCCTCCTCCTCCTCCTCCTCCTCCTCCTCCTCCTCCCTCCTCCCTCTCCTCGCTCCTCCCTCCTCCCTTCTCCCTTCTCCTCCTCCAGCCGCCGTCCCGGCTCAGGCTTTGGGTGCAGGGCCAGTCCCTCCGAGCCTTCCCGGGACAGCTGACGAACAAGCAGATTTTGGTATGCAGAGCGCGGATGCTGCGGCCAATTGGCCAGCCCCGCTCACCCCGCTCCTTCCGCTTCCCTCGACCCGTCGTCGACGCCGTCGCTCGCCCCTCCTCTCCCTCCCGCCCCCAGCCTGGTCCAGGAGCAGCGAGCTCGGATCGGGGCCAGTCGGCGCGAGGCCCGCGCCAGGCGGGAGCGCCGCAGGAGCCTCGACCACAGAGCCAAACCCCCTTGGACGGATGGCCCCGGGCCTATCGGCCCCTTCTTCTTCGAGGAGCTTCCCGCGGAGAGGAAGGCCCCCGACCTTTTCTATTTCGGGGACTAGGCCAGGCGGTGGCGCAAGTTGTGGATTCTCGCGTGATCCAGCGCGCCACCCGCCTGGCCTTTCGCCCCCCCTCTCTCATCGAGCACGCGCCATGCGAAGCCTCTGACCTGCATGCGTAGGAGGCTTTGAAGTTGCACACTCCCATTGGTCCTGAAGCAGCCAATCGCCTGGAGGCTGACGCCAACACCGTCAGTCACTTTGTCCAGTTAGCTGCCAGTGTGTTGCCAGCATTCCAGTCGAGAGCGAATCGTGAGAGGCCCTTCGCCCGACATCGCTCAGTCAAGGCCACCCCTGGATGGCATGAGTGGGAGAGTGGACCGCTGGGCACTCAGCGTAAGTATTGTCTGGCGGTTGCCCACGACGGGGCTCCCCAAGAGGCTCTAGGTTGCTCTGGGGCCCCCGAGTTCGTTCGCATGGTCGTCCGCCGTTCCCTGGGGTACCTCCTTGTCGGCGTGGCCTCTCATAAGATCCACCCCAGAGCCCCAGGGCCCTCTAGGACTAAGGCGAACCGTTTTCAGTTTCTGCGTGTTCAGTGCGGCTGCTGGGCCCAGAGGTGCTCCCGCAACCTTGATAAGGAGTGCCAACGACCCTCCAGGAAGGGCCGTGAAGTTCTCAGCAAGTGTTCGCGAGGACTGAGCCCCAGCAACCGAGTCCGCCAGTTCATTGACAGAGCTGCGGCGGTCACTGCTATGTAAGTGGTCCCCAAGCCGCGCTGCAAGACTCTGGCTCGTACGCATGTTCCCTCGACCCTCTCGAACGCCCCCACCTCCCCGGAGTATGAGCGGCGGCTGGCCGCCCTCGCTGAGCGAGTGCGGGCCAAGGAGGCTATGAAGGCCGAGGAATAGTTTCGGGCGGTGGCACCCTGTCGCTGGCCTTGGTCAGAGCGTTGGGAGCTCTGTCCTCCACGGTGACAAATCCCTCTCTGGGGGATGCCATTTCCCCCCCTTTGTTTAGTCTTGCGAGACTCTTCCCCTCGGGGCTGTCCTAACCTTACCTAATATCCTCCTCCTCCTCCCCCTCCTCCTCCTCCTCCTCCTCCTCCTCCTCCTCCTCCTCTTCCTCCTCCTCTTCTTCCTCCTCCTCTTCCTCCCCCTCCTCCCGCATCTCCTCCCCCCCCGCCCCTCTTCCTCGAGAACGGGGGATTGTGGAACCCCTCGGGGTTCCAGGGCGCGCGCGCGAGGCTTTCACACTGAGTTCGCGCGTGCGTCTTCCAGTGGTGTGCGTACTCTGTGGCGTCCTCCTCTCCTTGCGCCTCCCCCTCCTCCTTCTCCTCCTCCTCCTCCTCTTCCTCCTCCTCCTCCTCCTCATTTTTTCTCTCTCCCCCCCAGGAGAAAAATGTTTGTTCTTTTTTTTTCTGGGGGGGCCGGCGGCGAAAGAAAAAGGAATGCGACGCGGCCTCATCTACCCCCCCTAGAAGGATTCCTATTGAACGCCCCCACAAGAAGGATTCATAGTGAAATCCTCTACCGAAGGATTCCTATCGAAACCCTCCACTGCATGATTCCTGCTGAAATCCTCCACAGATGGATTCCTATTGAAATCACCCGGAGAAGGATTGATATTGAGATGCTTCGAAAGAAAGAACCACCCGTTGGCATTGCATTGGCAGTGGTTTGGCAATGGTTTGGCATCGCGTTGACATTGCGTTGGCATTGCGTTTGGCAGTGCGTTGCTAGCGCGCTTGCATTTCGCAAGCATTGCGCTTGCGAGTCCTAATGGAACCCTCCACCGAAGGACTCCGATCGAAACCTTCTACAAGAAGAACTCCTATTGAAACCCTCCAAAAAAACGGTTCATATTGACACCCTCCACAGACGGATTTCATGCGAAACCCTCCACAGAAGGATTCTTATTGAAATATGCTACAAAGGGTGTCCCCCAATGGCAGCGCATTGGGATTGGGTTGGGATCGCTTTGGCATTGGTGTGGCATTCCGTTGGCACTGCGTTGGCATTGCGCTGGCATTGCGCTGGCGAGTTCCAACGCCTACCTTCGCATAATAATTCCTGTTCACCCCCCCGCAAGAAGGATTCCGATTGAAGCATCCCACAAGAAGGGTTCACATTGAACTCCCTCATGGAAGGATTCAAGCCGAAGCCCTCCATAGAAGGATTCCTCTTGAACCCGACCACAAACGATTTCCCTCATTGGCATTGAATTCGGATCGCGTTGGCAGTGGTTTAGCATTGCGTTGACATTGCGCTGGCGAGTTCTCATGGCTCCCCCCACAGAAGGATTCCGATGGAAACCTTGCACAAGAAGGGATCAATCTGAAACCCCACATGAAGGATTCAAAGTGAAACCCCCCCACAGAGAGATTCCCATAGAAACCCTCCACGGGAGGATTCCTATCGAAATCCTCCGAAGAAAGATCCGTAACCAAATCATTCAAATAAGGATTCCTAGTGAAATCTGTTGGAAGACAGGAATACCGCCATCGGCATTGCATCGGCATTGGTTTGGCAACGGTTTGCCATCGCATTGGCATTGCGATGGCAGTGCGTTAGCAGTGCGTCGGCATTGCGTTGACATTGCGCTGGCGAGTCCTACTCAAACACTTCACAGAAGGATTCCTGTTGAACACCCCCACAAAAAGGATGCCGATTGAGCCCCCCCAAGAAGGATTCAAATTGAAATCCTCAACAGAAGGGTTCCATGCGAAGCCCTCCATAGAACGCTTCCTATTGAAATCCCCCGAAGAAGGGTTCTTAGATGGATTGCTGTTGAAATCTACCACAAATAATCCCCCCCATTGGCATTGGTTTGGCATTGCGTTGGCACTATTTCGGCATTGCGCTGGCGAGTTCGAATGGCCCCCACCACAGAAGAATTCCTTACCTTCCACAAGAAGGGACAGTTTTGAAAGCACACCACATAAAAGATTCATACCGACCCCCCCCCCCCCCCCCCCCCCACGGAAGGATTCCAACCGAAACCTTCCATTGGTAGGATTCGTTTTGGAATCTGCAGCAAAGGATACCCCCCAGTGGCATTGCATTGGCATTGAATTGGGATCGCCTTGGCATTGGCTTGGCATTGCGGTGGCAGTGCGTTAGCAGCGCGTTGGCATTGCGCTGGCGAGTCCGAATGGCTCCCTCCGCAGACGGACTCCTACTGAAACCCTCCACAAGAACGATTCCGAGTAGATCCTCCCACATGAAGGATTCCTAGTGAGACCCTCCACCTGAGGATCCCGATCGAAACCCTACACATAAGCATTGCTATCGAATTCCTCCGAAGAAGGATTCGTAATGACCTCATCCACAACGTTTTATTACTGAAATCTACCGCAAGAAAGGGTTCCCCCACTGGCATTGCATTGGCATTGGACGCATTTGCATCGCATCGGCATGCATTGGCCTGGCGCAGGAGACAGACAAAGAGAAAGACAGAGAGAGAATAACAAAAAAGAGAGAGAGAGAGAGAACATTAGAGAGCGGTAGAACGAGAAAAATAGTATGAGGGGGTCACGGCGAAAAGGAAAATGGCAAAAAAACAATCAAATTTTAATGGTGGTAGCAGAGCGATTCTCCTCCTCATCATCCTCCTTCTCCTCCTCATCCTCCTCCTCCTCCCCCCCCTCCTCCTCCTCCTGCTCCTCCTCCTCCTCCTCCTCCTCCTCCTCCTCCTCCTCCTCCTCCTCCTCCTCCTCCTCCCCCCCCCCTCCTCCTCCTCATCCCCCCCCCCCCCCTCCCCCTACGGAACAAGGACTTCGACGAGAAGGCCACGCCTGCTATGCCAGTCCCCGACTGGATGTGCGACTATTTGCTAAAGAAGTCTGACAACATGGATTGGTGGAAGGAGTGCGTCGTAGAGAACGGCAAGGCTCTGGAGAAGGACTGCGCTGACTTGCTAAAGAAGTCTGCCAACATGGGCTGGTGGAAGGGCTGCGATGTCAAGTTCGACAAGACCGACGCCCACCGCAGCGCTGAAGTCCATCGCGTTTTCATCAACAATGCGGTCGGAATCGCGATCGAGATGAAGTGCATGCTGGTCAAGTTCGGGCGGAAAAAGAATTTCGTCGTCGAGGCCAGCTGCAAACACATCCATCATCATCAAACCGTGCGGTGAGTTGGCACGGAATCTCACCCCAATTAGGCTTGCACCTGTCAAGCCGCCTTTTCTGCCAGCCTTCGATGTGGCTGGCCAGCAGAATCAGTTGTGCATGATGCCAAGTGTTGCAGTGTCTCTGGTATGTGGTCTGGGGCGGGGCAGAGACCTCGCGGAACGACTGGGGCGGTGCAAAGGCT